CCACCTGTCAATTTGGATCCAGCTGGCACAGGAAGAGACTTCCCCTCCTTCTCTAGCAGAGCATCTGGTGGACTCGAACCTTGTGCCTTCGGAATTGCAGTGCAGTCCTCTTTACATATTTTATAGTGTTCAGATGAACAATTTTTATACAGATTATTTCATGCCATTGGTTGCTATTTTTACAATTTTTTTTGTTTTTATTTTTATCAGCATTCTATTTCTTTCCACTCTGTTCTCTTTCCATTGATCTAGCTACCCTTTGCCTCCGAGCCTTCTTACCTCTGCTTTCAGTAATTGTTGACCACTTAGTCTCATATATTAATGGTTTAAGAAAGCATATTACTCATGGACAGGATTGTTTATTTTATAATTCAATCTATTATCAGGCTGAAAAGTGACCTGCAGAAATAGCGTCTGAGTTCAGAGTATTTTAGGTGGCCAGTCTCAGGTCTGCTTTTAGTTTTTCTTGGTCCATCAGGTCTGGCCTTTTTAAATGTATTTATTTTTTTAATTTTCTACTAGTTTATTTACAAAATTCAAATACATTGTTTTCAAGAACAATTTTTTTAAATTTCCCTCACCCCCTCTTCAAACTGTACAACCACATGATTAATCCTCCGTCTCCCTGCACATCCTCGTCCCTCTGCTTCCAGCCTCTCCCACCCCTCTTGGATCCTTATACTCATTCTACAATAATGGTTTTGCACAATATTTATCCTTGTGGGACCATAATGTACCATAATTTCTTAAACCATTCGTTTGTGGACATTTGGGCTGTTTCTATGTTCTTGTGATGGTGAATAATGCTGCTATGAACACTGGTGTACAAATCTTCATTTGTGCCTCAGTTCTCATTTTCTCATGGTATATTACAAGTAGAGGAATACCTGAGTCATATGGAATTTCTATGTTCAGCTTTTTGAGGAAGTGCCAAAATGCCTTTCAGAATGGTTGTATCATTTTACAATCTCATCAACAATGTATAAAATTTCCTGCCTCGCCACATCCTCTCCAACATTTATTACTTGCTGCCCTGTTAAACTTTGCCACTGTTACTGGAGTGAGATGGAACCTCACTGTAGTTTCGATTTGCATCTCTCTTATTGCCAGTGATTTGGAGCATTTCTTCATGTGTCTGTTTGCCATTTGAATATTTTCCCATGTAAAAATTCTTTCCATGTCTTTTGCCCATTTTGTAATTGGTTATCATCAGTCTTCTTCTTGTGGAAGCCCAGGAGTATTCTGTAAACTTTTGTTATAAGACTCTTGTCTGAGATGGTATTACCAAATGTTTGTCCTTTTTGTGTTTTTGCCTTTTTTAAAAGGAATTTGAGTCTTATTCTGCTTTTTTCACTCTACTGGGGACCTGCTATTGTGGTCCTGCTCACAACAGTCAGTAGCAGAAGCTGGGCAGCACTTGGTTCTTCTGGTCTCAAGGTAGAAGATGCAGTGGTTTGTGTGGGCTATCAGTCCTGTGGACTAGTATATTCTTAAGACCTTCCATCTCCACCATTCTCCTCTTCTCTATAACAAGCAGTGAGCACTAATTCTATCTTATATGGCCACTCATGAGACTAAAGATACTATTCACTAAACCTAAATGTAGAACATAATATCTTTGTGAGTTATGTTATGCCAGTTCACCAAGTTATTCCTCAAGAATACGGCCCCAAGCCTTTTAACCCAGTAAACCGATCCTATAAATTGGCTGGAAATCTCCATCACCGTGTCTCCATGTGTGTGGATTTTTGCTACTGTAATACTGCAATAAACAGATGTGTTATTTCTCTTCTACCTCTAGGATTTATATATATATATATATATATATATATATAGTAGAGGGACAGAGCAAGAGAGGAAGACCCTTGAAAAGATAGATAGATTGATTCAGTGACTGGCGTATTGGTGGTAGGTGTGTTAGAGACAATAAGATTGGCACAAGATAGAGCAGGGTTTAGGGCTGATGCACATAGGGTTGCTATGAGTGGCAGGCACACACCACCACCACCACCACCATCACCACACACACTCGCACACACACCCTGTAGGCAAGGGAATGCTGGATCATCTGTATTTATATTTCTAGCTTTTTGCGGAAGCACCATACTGTTTTCCATAGCACCAGGCTGGGTTTGTTCTGCTGTACTAAGGGTCGCTGTGATGGCATGTAGCAACAACCACAGCAGCACTATTTTACAATTCCACCAGCAATGTTTAAGAACTGCAATTCCGGGGAGCTCTGGTGGCCTGGTGGCAAGGAGCTGCAACTACAATTCCAGAGGCGCACAGTTCGAATCCACCAGATGCTCTGCCGGGGAAGGAGGGACAATCTCCTGTACCAGTCAGATCTGATTTGATGGTACACGCACACAAAAATAATAAAATAAAATTTAAAAAAAAAAAAGAACTGCAATTCCTTTACAACTTCCCAGGCATATATTTTGTAGTTTTTTTATCACGGCAATCTTTGCAGGGTGGAGTGGTATCTCATTGTAGTTTTAATTTGTTTATCTAATGGCTGAGGAGTTGTGTCACCAGCCCAAAGGCATGTGGTTTGACTCTACTAGATGCTCCACAGAAGAAAGATGGGAAATCTCCAGCCATGTGATTTACAGCCTCTGGAAATCTGCTGTAGGGTCTGCTATGATGGTACATAACAACAATGGCCACAGAAAGAATCCTGGTGGCATTTTGGAACCAAAATGTCCTTACAGAGCAGCTCCACAGGAGAGAGTTGAGGCAATTTGCTTCCATAAATATATAAACACTTTAATATCCTTTGGGACGATTTTATTCTCTCCAAAAGGGTTGCCGCGAGTTGAAAATGATAATGGCAGTGGGAGCAGTTAATGGTTACTAGCCTCTTCTCATGTATTTGAAGGTGGCTTCGATAGCCTCTTCTGTGAAGTGTTTCTCCATGTCCTTTGCCCAATTTTTTTTTTTTATGGTGAGAAAAATTTATATTTAGAATTAGCCCTCTGGACTCAGTTTAGATGACCCCAATTTTGTTGGCAACCTCCAAAGCATCAATCAGGAGCAAGTCGAACATAGGCCTTCTTCTGTCCATCAGGCCTAATCAAAGTGTTGACCTTAGCCATACCAATGTCATAGAGCTTCTTTACAGCTTGTTTAATTTGGTGCTTGTTGGCATTGACATCCCCAATGAACACAAATGTGTTGTTATCTTCTATCTGCTTCATAGTTGACTCAGTGGTCAGGGGAAATTTGATGATGGCATAGTGGTCAAGCTTGTTTCTCCTCGGGGCGCTCTTCCGGGGGTATTTGGGCTGCCGCCGGAAGGTGGGTAACGTGCAGATCTTCTTTTTTTTTTTTTTTGGCTGTGGACGCCCTTCAGGACTGCCTTCTTGGCCTTTAATGCCTTTGCTTTGGCTTCAGTTTTGGGAGGGGCAGGGGCTTCCTTCTTGGCTTTCAGCGCCATCTTCGTAGAAAGCCTTTGTCCAATTTTTAAATGAGAATTTTTAATTTTCTGTATGTCTTTAGAGGTGGCTTAGTGGTAACAAATTGTGTTGCCAACCTGAAGGTATGTGGTTCAAATTCACCAGCTTCTCTATGAGAGAAGGATGGGCAATCTCCTCTTGAACAATTTATTGCTTCTGAAACTCTGCTGGAAGGTCAGCTATGGGTTGGTTCCAACTTGATGTTACCCCAAAACAACAAATCCTTATTAGAGACAGTGAGATTGGCAAGGGATAGAGCAGGCTTTAGGGCTGTTGTACTTAGGGTCACTGTGAGTCACAAGCGACAAGATGGCACCTAACAACAACAATGTATGTTCTTGCCAAAGATTCCTCCCACCTCTCCCCACCCCTACCTTGCTGAGTCTCTAAGTCGTCCTTACTGTTTTGACAAAGTCTTTTGAATGAGTTAAAGTATTTTTATCTAAGTTATTTCACTTGACAACAAGTAGCTTCTAATCACATTTAATGTACTTAAATGTCCATCCAGTTTTCACTAAATAAGAGTTTGTCCATAAGACATTGAATCATTCTTGAAAAAGTATTGCTATTGTTGCTATGTGCCATCGAGTCGCTTGCGACTCATAGCGACCCTATGTGCAAGAGCCCTAAACGCCATTCTATCCTGTGCCAACCTCGCTGTCTCAAATACACTCATTCCCACCACTCCAGTCACATAATCGATCTATCTCATCGAGGGTCTTCCTCTCCTGCGCCATCCCTCCACTCTCCCAAACAGGATGTCCCTCTCCAAGGACCAGTCCCTCCTTGCAACATGCCCAAAGTATGTAAGACGAAGCTTCAGAATCCTTGATTCCAAGGAGCATTCCAGCTTCACCTTCTCCAGGACAAACCTGTTTGTTCTCCTAGCAGTCCATAAAAAAAGTATAGGTGATATTTTTATCCCATACACTTTCAGTTAATAGAAGCTCTCATCAAGTTATGAGCAAGATTCATTCTTAAATGTGCCTTTAAGAATTTGTAGTTCAACTGAATGAGGTGCATACATAATGAGTCTTCACATAGCCTTACGTTAGTGCAAGAAAAGGCTCAAGGACTCTCCAATCATTTAAAAACTGCGTATGCAACAAGTAAAGGAGATGGTGATAAAGAGGTGGTTGGTTCAATCCTCTCCAAGTGAGGGCAAATATACACAACATTAAAGCAGGGCTTCAGAGATGGCAGTACACCCTCAGTGATGGTGTTATTAAAACAAATATTTTAAAAAATATGTAGTTAGGAAAAAATGTACAGAAGTTATCCATCCTTGTGGAATTGAGAAGTTAGTGGGTTCAAGAGCAAGTTTATAATGTGCTTACAATCAAGCCAAATTCCTAACTCACTTTAATCTTATACAGTTATTTTTAAATCTTTTATTGTAATATAAGTATTAAATTGATTTTTAAGTCTAAGAATTAGAGAGCAGTTATGCTTGAAAAATTTTGACAAACTTTATTCAGTGAGAGGACTGGAAAATGCTCTGAGGTAATTTAATGAGGTCTTAGAAAAACATAGTCTCCTTACCAGTAATTGTTCTGCTATCATCTTTGTGGGTGTCAGCCATTTCCCCAACATGAACTTCTGAATTCACAACAACTTCTTTCCCTGATAATTGTAAACGAGTCTGAAGAGAAGATGGTACCTTGACAGTAATAGAGCCTGCAGAAATTAAAAGGAGAATATACTCTAATAAGGAAATAAAAAGTTTCAGAACCTTTGAGAAATTAAATTGAAAAGGTATTATTGCTTTCAGTATAACATCTCTAACAAAAGATATGAGGGCTTAGAGGGATAAAAAGAAGAAAACATCAAAACCTGGCTAATCTCAGTAGGAATAGAAGACACAGGTTTTTCTACTAAACACAGTTAAAAAGAAGGATTTTTAACTTATGAATGAAAAAAGCATTTTTCCAGGATGTTTCATCCCTAAATGTATGAAACCTGATTAATTTTATGAACACTTCTTTTTCCTGTTTTAAAAATGAGTTTTGAACACGTTATGTCATGCAGATAGGTCTATCTCTCTCTCCTTCTGTTGTTGTTGTATGCTTTACAGTTGGCACCAACCTGCAGCTGGCCTGCCAGCAGGTTTTCAGAAGCAGTAAATCACATGGGAGGAGACTGCCCATCTTTCTCCCATAGAGCAGTTAGTGGATTTGAACCATGTATCTTTGCCTTGGCAGCACAATTTCTTACCACTAAGTCATCAGAAAACAACAACAACAACAAAAACAAACCAAAAACCCAAACAACCAATATCCTAACTAACCACCCTCTGTTTAGAAATAAAGAACTCCTATTACTTGAAAACTTGCCCATATGCCTCATCTTTAATACTTAACATTATATATTTTCAGTAAAAACAGCTCTTGTTATGTCTTTAGCTTCCTTTCACTGTATAAACTTATTGTCCACTTTAAAAATCCAAAAGTATACTAATACTAGCAGCATTAATTTATTGAATACATAGTATAAGATTAGAGATTTTCTGAAGGTCAAAAAACTTAAGTGGAAAAGTGAGTCCTCTGGTGCTGGAGACTCCTAACTCCAACCAGCCTTTCTGAATCCAAGCTGCCGTGTTACCTTTCATAATGAAAGGGAGAAGGAGCATTTTAACCTTTCTTTCCACGTGGCAAAAGGAGAAGACCTGAGAGGTTTCAAATGAATGACAGAATCCTACAAGACAAAGGCAGAGGAACAATGGATTCCAGATGTCTTTAGCAACCATTAAGCCACAAAATAACTTACCACTTCTCTGAAAAGTTACTATTCCCAAGTGTAGTGAGAATGAAAAGACCTGAAGTACAACAGAAACTTTGTTTCTAGTTATCTTTAAGCTTCTGCCAGTAGGAGTGTCCCAGTGGGAGAAAACACAAAATTGTAATTTTAATAAAATTTGTAACGCCATATGTTATTTTAGTAGATTAATGGAAAACATTCCAAGTAAGACTCAAAAACATTTTAAGTGGATGAGGATTAATAATGGTTTTGTTTGCTTTTGTATAAGAAAAGGAAATGACTTTTATGTAAGAGCTGCCTTTTTTAAAACGTCATTTTTTTACTCTATTACTAATGGTTCAGGGATTTCTCTGTGAAACATTTCAATAAGCAAGTGCAATCATATAACATGAGTTCATCATTGAAGCTCTTAGAAATTTAGTGAGGGCACAGTATCATCCTGTTTCAAAGGAATAAAAGTGGTTTTGAGAAATCAAGCACACGTATGTCAGAAGCGACTTGAATTTCAGAGATCTTTGTGTTTTGTAGTTTTACTCTGACAAAGAAAGGGAACTTAGGTGAATGAAAACATAGTCAGCCAACATGGCAAAGAAATTACTAAAAGCAGCAGCATCTAGTTTCTGTAAGAAGGTATTTTTCTGGTTATGCACATGGCCTAGTTCTGTCCAATATGCAAGAATTTCTAGACCATTTCTGTTACTATGATCAAACTACTCAACCCAAGTCATTTGCTATTGTTACCAAGTATGCACACACTTTAACATTTAACATTCAGCCTTTAAATTACTAAGAAGTATAGTGAGTGGTGTAAGGAAAGGTCTGAACTCTCAGAGTAATTTATTTTGTAAAAAACCCCAAATTATAGAGTAGACACAACATAAGTATTGATACTTCAAGAGATCAGCTCAACAATTATTTAAGTGGACCTTTCAGATGAGATCTTTATTCGGGACAAAACTTTGGAAATTAAAAAAGGTCTTCATGGAAAGCATAGTTCCCAAAAGAATATATGCAGGATTTTCCTTCCAAAGAATACTCTGTTTCAGTTGTAAAATTAAACTCAAAACCCGAAAAAATAACACTGAAAGAATTCAACAGTAACTGACAAAATATTTCAATACTTCTGTTTGTAATACAAAGTGAAATTCTTCATAGCTATCTGTCTCAAAGTTTTGAAGAGCAGGGATCTATAGAGCGAGTAAACAAGTCTTTAAATCCGATTCTATTAGATGGGAAATTACTTGCAATAACTACCAATCTAGACAGTATGGTCCTCTGTTTCCTAAGTGTTACACACACATCTTCTTCTTTATATCAGTGTCAAAATAAAGCATTCAAGCGGGCTAACCTTTATGTGATGTTAAGTCCACTTCTCCCAGCTGGCTAACATAGACGTCTATGGCGCCCTGATGGGTCGAGGCTTGTAGACAACCAGAGGATGAATCTGGGAGGGAAGAAAACACTTTGAGTATGACCATTCTTATTTAAGAAAATGGAATTATAAATTTTAAATCAAAAGCACTCTAAGAATATTCAAAGAAAGTTATACTGTCTTCCAAGGTGGTATATTCTCCTCTTAACAGAATCACTTTTACATTAAAATATCTAGAACTTAACACATAAGACAAATTCAAATTCACTACATTTGAATCAGTTCCAATTCGTGCACCCTTCCATCTGGTTTCTGAGGCTATAAATGGTCGCAGAAGGAAACTGCCCATGTTTCCCCCTGGAGCAGCTGGTGGATTTGAACTACCTCTGTGTTAGCAGCACAACTCCCTCTGGATTACACCACCAGTTCTTCCTGCCAGATTGAAGATAAATTGTAAAACCCCTATCTGCATTTAATTGCATCACTGTGTAAACATGCTTACTTCAAAAGCTAACAGATGCAAAGGACAGTGTAGAAACTGTGTTATCTTTGACAGTCAAGATATCATAATATATTTGGTTAACTGGTAAGGAGCTATGCTGACAACCCAAAGGTACACAGTTCAAATCCACCAGCTGCTCTGTGGGAGAACAATGAGCAATCTCTTTCTGTGCAATTTACTACCTCTGGAAACCTGCTGGAGGGTCGGCTATGGATCAGCTCTGACTCTATAGTTTACAACAACTACAACATTATACCTAACGGAGCTCTGGTGGCCTTGCAGTAAGGAGTTGCATTGTCAATCCAAAGGCATGCAATTCAAACTCATCAGCTATTTTGTGGAAGAAGATGGGCAATGTGCACTGTGCAATTGAAAGCCTTTGAAAACCCACTGAAGGTTTGGTTCTGAGTTGGTTCTGACTTGATAGCACAGAATAACAACATTATACAATATTATATAGAAGGCTGTCAACATTTACCAAGGAATTCTATCAGTCACATACATACACCCCATAGCACAACCAAGCCCAACCCAACCTACTGCCATGGAGTTGATTCCAGCTCAAGGGAACCCTCCCCTGGGTTTGTGAGGCTGTAAATCTTTCAGAATGTCCATCTTTCTGCTGGTAGATCCAAACCACCAACCCTTCAGTTAGCAGACAAACATGCAACACATTAGGCTACTAGGGCTCCTAAGCAGGAGAAAAGTTATCTAAACCCAAAGTCTCTTACAATTCCTTTTCCAACTTTTCTAATACTAAAAAGTACTGCTAAGATTAAAAGATTAAAATTTTATTACACTTTTTAGAGTAGGAGGGAGACTGGAAAAAAGGGACCAAAATTTGAAGAATGAGTGAATGAGTGATTTTTATATTATTTATTTTCCTTGACCATCTATTCTTAATATTTTCAACTTTCTTGAGTCTTAAAAATGAGGGATGGAAAGTTAATAATAAGTAATTCTCATTTAATGCTCCAATTTCCCTATATTGTATCCAGAGTCCAGTTTTAAACCATCCAGTATTTCAAGTTCAGGAAAAAACTGACAGAATCAGAGATCTAGAGATGAGGTGACACTACTGATGAGTCAGTGCAAGTGGCTTCTCTTTTCCTCTCCGTCGGAACAAAGGACTTGACAAACAACTGGATCTGGAAGATACCATCATTTCTAATTCTTTTTTTTTCAGATGTTAGGACTGAGATGTAGAGAACTTAGGTAATTTGCATACGTATACAAAGTGGTGAAGTCAGAATTCTAACTCCATTTTGATTGATACTAAACGTGCAATTTACATACAATATTTATGGAACCGTGAATCAATAAATTTCCAAGAATAATTTCACACATTGGATCTGTCTCTAACTGACTTTCATATCAGGATCCTACTGGTTCATCAGGTAAACTGTAGACTTCATGTGCTTTAATAAATCATCAGCACTACAGCTACTTTAAAAAGCAGGCAACATTTCACAGCTAGAGCCTCAGCAGCATACCTACTGTGATGTTACCCGTCATGCTGTGTAATGTGATGTTGCCTATAAAAGAAAAAAGAAAAGTTTATGCATTAGGAATAATCTAAAAAGAGTCTACATTATACGGTGCCCTAAAGCATGGCTAGGGATCTGAGATATTATTTAATATGTTGGCAATTTTTCTTACTATCACAAATTTAGTCAGATTGCTAAAACTAGTTGAAATAATTAGCTAAAGGGATCTATGGAAACTTTCTTAGTTCCACTTCCAAATCTCGAGTTTCTTTAGAATAAATGCAAAAAAAAGCCACTGTATTTCCTGGGAAATATAGAGAAAATAATGACATATCTAAAGGCCAGAAATTTTTAAATATTCAAATGTATGTACTATGAATTTTCAACCTAAACATTAATGCATTTATCAGACCACACAAAGTCAAGTTTTGAACCAAGTAATACTAAAACATTCCATGGAAAAAATAATTACTGTTATATTTCAGGCTAATGTATGTCATGTCTGTCTATTAGATTAAAGTGGTTTCTGTAAAAAAAAAAGTTAAAGTGGTTTTGGGTAGCAGGGATAATGAATACACTCAAGTATGACTAACAAAGACAAAGACTTCAAAGTCTTCCATCTTTCAATGCAAATATATCTTCCAGAATAACTATAGAATATTGCAATCATCCTTCTCAGCCCCTCTCTTCCACTACCAAAAGATAGTAGGATTTTTCTTCATGCTGGTATGTATTATCATTTCCGGAGCGGTAATATCATTCATATTTACTGCACCAAAAGTAGAGAGAGTAGTATTACTTCTTTATAATTTAAAAAAAATACATAAGAAAGTAAATAATTATGATTTTTTAATTAAGCTGAGGTAAATGAATTTATTTCATTTTCTATGTATGTATTAATATCTAATATATGTATGTATTAATATAAGAAAAAGCCAAACAACACTTGACTCACTTATCAATGTCAGGTGTGCTTCAATTGCAAAAATACTTCTAAACATCACATCACACTTCATATGGGTACACGAACAAGGAGTGCATTTATGTAGAAATAAGAACTTGGCTTGTTTGCATACGTTAAGCTCATAAAAATTCCTTCAAGTCACAGAAAATTAGAGGAGAATGAAGATCTTGTTAAATGTGTTAGGTAAATATTATTTCACTGATGTGTTCCATATATTCGTTTCCAATTTTCAAATCTAGTAAATGCATATGATTCACCTTCAGGTGCAAAAAAGTGGCCCCAAATCACACAGCTTCTAAGATGGTTCTAATGATGGCTACTTCCTGTTATTCATACTCTACAAAATCTCCCTTTATGTGCAGGTTTGGCTTAAAGACATGGTTTTAATGAAGAAATAGACGCAGATGTGATTTCTGTGATGAGGTTAGAGTAAGCTACTTCTTGCCAGTGATGGAGGCCTTCAAACACTTGCTGCAAAAATCAAAGACACTTACAACCTTCAACATGGAGTACACCTCAACATCAAGGCAACAAAAATCCTCACCACTGGGCCAATAGGCAACATTATCAGAGATGAAAAAAAGATGGAAATTGTCAACCTTTTCATGTTCCTCATTCCGGTAATTGACACCCTTCATACCAGCAGTCAGGAAACATACAGAATTGGGAAAGTCTAGGACCTCTCCAAAGTCCTGAAGAGTAAGGATGTCAGTTTAAAGACTAAGGTGTGCCTGATTAAAGCTATAGTTTTTCCAATCACCTGTTATGCATCTAGAACTGGACAATAAATAAGCCAGACAGATGAAGAATCAATGCCTTTGAGTTGTGATGTTGTAGAAGAGTAGTGAATATCTGATGTACTACCAAAATAACAAACAGATATATCTTGGAGAAAGTGCAAGTGCAGTGTGCTTCTTAGAAACAAGGATGGCAAACCTTTGCCTCACATACTTTGTGGATATTTTTAGGAGAGGCTATTCCTTAAAAAGAAACAGCATGCTTGGAGAGGTAGAGGGTCAGTAAAAGAGAGGACAACCCTCAGTGAGATGGACTGATACAAGGGGCTGCAACTAAAATTAAAAATGTCTTTTTATCCATTATATTTACTCTGTCACATAGGTGGTCAGGATCATATACATCAGGATAACAGAATGTTTTACACTAGCCTAGCCACAAGGTGATTGGCTAGTTCCACCATGCTACTCACTTTAAACTGAGTGCTTTCAACAGCAGAAACTGGAAATCTTACCACCACCAAGGACTAGGAAGCAGTGTGTGCCCTGCAGTGCTGGAGACTGCTGCTAGATCAGGCTTATAGGAGCAGCAGCCACAGCAGAGGCCCAGATGTGAAACAGAACTGACCCTGGGACCCTGGTGCCAGAGCTAGGAGCCCTCACTCAAGCTTGCGTGAAGACTGAGGGAAGATGCCATAACTGGCAGGGCTAAGGAAACTGTGACATTGATCTAAGCCATGGTGCTTATGCTCAAAGGGCCAGAGACCACACTTGAGAAAATGGACAGAGGGGATGTATCCTGTTGTCAACTTGATCTGTTAACTTCACTAGTGAACCCCATAACAGTGGGCATGGTTCTATAAACTCTGTGTATTCATTACAATGGAATTTGGACCCAGTAGAGTAATAAGATTGCTGTTGGAATTAGTGGAAGTAGGTGCAGGAGCATGGGGGACCATGTTAGACCTTATAGGAATTAGTTTTGTACTATGTATATTATTGATGGGGACAGTTCTCCTTTGTGGAGTTAGTAGATGTTAGGCTCAATGTTGTCTTTGGTCTAATTACACAGACTTAAGACAAACAAAAAACTATTCCGTTGCAGACACAGGCTACAATACAGGTGATTTTGAGGGTGCTACTAAGTGCACTAAACACAGAGACTCATGAAGATTTCCCAAGTTTTGAGACTTGAAAAAGGATCTCATACAACTGCCTACCAAAGTTTCAAAATTACTATGAATCAGTGACCCCTTTGCATTTCCTACTTCCTCTCTTTGAATAATAATGCTCTAACAATTATTCTATACCTGTCTAACATTTGTATTTTGGGAGTGGGTTGGAGGAAGAGAAAGGTAACATGTATCTTTACAGGTTTTCAGATTTAGAGAAACTGTACATGAAGAGCCTTAAGAACTACATGCGAGGTGTCTCATGTATATGTAGAAGTAATTTAGATATAGAAATTCTGGAGTTTGAGCTGATGCATAATTGGATAAGACTTCTGGGGATCCTTTTCTTATGGCAGGACAATGAATTACTGAGGGGCTAGAGGAAAGACTCACCATTCAAAAATCTTAAAAGCTAAAAGGATAAAAATAGAAAAGCTGAAAATTAATATATAATACAGCCCTAAACTCTGCTCTGTCCTGTGCCAATTGCACTGTCTCTGACACTCCCATACCGATTATCCCAGTCGCTCAATCAATCCACCGCATAGAGGGCCTACACCTCCTGCACTGTCCCTTCACCCTCCTAAGCATGATGTCTTTCTCCAAGGTCCCTACTTACAACATGTCCAAAGTATGTTAGACGAAGCCTCGGAATCCTTGCCTCCAAGGAGCCACCCGGTTTAACCCTTTCCAGGATGAATCTGTTTGTTTTCCTAGCAGTCCATGGTACTCTCAATACTCTTCTCCAGCACCACAGCTCAAAGGCATCAATTCTCCTTCTATCCTCCCTAGTCATTGTCCAACTCTCTGATGCATAACAAATAATTGTGAAGACCATGGCCTGTATCAGACGCACCTCAGTCTCCAGAGAGACACCATTGCTCTTCAGTACTTTCGAAAGGTCCCTAACAGCAGCCTTTCCCATGGCAATGAACCTTTTAATTTCCTGGCTACTGGTGCATAATTGTAAAATAACATTGCAAATGAACACCATGAATTAAGTGCAATCGACTATAGTGACCTGACGTGATCTGGAAGAACACTGTGAATTGCAACAAAGGACCATATGGACACTATCAAAGGGCAATGTTTTTTCCTACGTGGGAAATATTATAGAAAGAAAGGTAATAAGCAGAATCCAGAAGAGGACTTGAATGTTTGCTGTACAAGACCAAAGACTACAGCCTCAATAAGCACTTATTTAGCTAGTTGAGTTCAACCACAACCACACAAGTAAATGTCTTATATTCACCTTTAATTAATGAAACAGAAATGCACTTTCTAAAATTTTGTGAAAATAGAGGCTCAAAAAGTTAATCATTAGTTCTGATGATAAAAGATGACAGGTGTTAAAGATGATGGTTTTTAGAGTCAGAAAATAGACATTTTAGATCCACTGCAAAATAAGGACTAGCTCATATTAGAACAGCACCTGTAGTTACAGATGATATCCCTCTCAAGTGCCAGAGTTCTATTGTATGTCATGGAACAATAACAGAGAACCTTTGGTAAAAAGAGTATTTGTAGATTTTTTGTTGTTGTTGTTAAATTTACAGAATTTTAAAAGTAGCAAACAAGACATATTTTTAACACAATCAGAACATTTAGAAAATCCTCACCCTAACCAAAAAATATTCTGATTAGAATACACAAAATGGATCTCTTGACCTCACACAGGCTATACACATGGAGCTCACCTGATGGCATGCATAGGAACCAAATCGATTACATTTGTGAAAAGACTCGCTGGAGAAGCTCAATATCAGCAGTGAAAGCCAGGCCAGGTGCTGATTGTGGGACAGACCACCAACTACTCATATGCAAGTTCAAGCTGAAGTTGAGGAAAATTAAGTCAAGTACACAGGAACCAAGATTTGACCTTAAGTCTGTCCCACTAGAATTTCAAAATCATCTCAGGAAGAGATTTGAGGCCTTGAGCACCAATGAGTGTAGACCAAATGATCTCTGGGAGGATATCAAGAAAATTGTCCATGAAGAATGCAAAAGATCATTACAAAGGCTGAAGAAGAAGAAAAGACCGAGATGGATGTCATATGAGACTCTGAGTATTGCATTAGAGTGCCGAGAAGCCAAAGCTAAAGGAAGAAATCAAGAAATCAAAGAGCTGAACAGAAAATTTCAAAAAGCATCTCGGGACGACAAAGCAAGGTACAATGA